AGAGGAGGAGGTGGTGGCGACCGAGGAGGCACCGGCGGGCGGCTAGGAGAAGGAAGGCCGAGGAGGCGAAGAGCGGACACCGGCAGCGACGGCGATGGCTGCTGCCCAACGCCAACACCAGAACCTCCAGCAGGAACACGGCTCCCTCCGAGAAGCCCCACGCCAGCACCCCCAAAACGGGAAACTGCTCCAGTACCCGCTCCGACATGCTACCCAGCACCCCCAGAACGCACAAACCCCAGCAGCGGTGATGACGGCGGCTGCGGCTGCGGCGGCGACGGCAGCTACGGAGGTGGCTGCGGCTGTGACAGCAACGTCGGTGACAGGGGAGGAGAGACCGGGGTTGGGATAGGCAAGGGAAGCGAATCCGCCGAGCCGCGAGAGTCAGCAGACCCCTCGGAAAGAACAACCGACGGGAGGGGAGTGACGTGAGACACACCACACGGGGCAGGGCTGGGAGGGGGAGGAACAAGGGCGATTGGGGGAGGGGGGGTAACCAAGAACTGGGGGGGAGTGACCAGGGGACCACGGTGGGGAAAGCGGTGGTTGAAGAAGATGGACTCCTCAAAGGTGACGTCGTGAGAGTGAAAGAAACGGTGACACGGCGGGTGGTAGAAGTGCCAGTCAGACGAGTCAAGGGAGAAACCTAGAAAGACACAGGGGACGGTGCGGGCTGTGAGCTTGTCCGTGCACGAGGCACGAACGTGAGAAAGGCAGCCCCAGACGTGGAACACAGACACGTCACCAGGAGACCCGGTCCAGAGGAGGGTCGGCGAAACTTGTGGCCGCTGAGGGTGCGGCCACGGGTTAAACTGGTGGGCGGCGTAGCGAACGGCGAACGGCCACAGAAAATGGGGTGCACCGGCATGGATCATGGAGGTACGAGCCACCTCCATGACCAAACCGATGCGTCGCTCAGTGACCCAATTCTGCTGCGGGGAGTCCGGCAGGGTGTACGTCTGGGTGATGCCCTCCGCATGACAGAAGCGACCAAGGCATCCAGAGGCGAACTCGCCACCACGGTCGGAGTGAAGACGCAACACAGGGAGACCTCGGTGCACACGGGCAAAGACAAGCCACGGGATAAGAACGTCAGGCACATCGGCCTTCCGCTCCAAGGGAAACACGGTGGTGTAGCGAGTGTAGTCGTCGACAAGCACTAGGAAGTAACGCTCACGACGTGGCCCATGGACAGGGGCAGGGCTCTGGACGTCCACGTGCAGGGTTTGTAACGATGCGATGGTGAGGGGGAACGAGGAGGAGTGAGGGGCACGACGAAGCCAGCCCTCGACGCAGGGGGTTCATGGAGGCGCTGCCAAGGAGGGGAGCGCAGGGAACGACGCAGGAAGACCTAAGGCAAGACCGTGCTGAGACATGTGACGGAGACGTGTGAGGACGGTGTGACCTAGGCGGTGGTGCCACAGAAGCGACGGGTGAGTAAGCGACCGACACGAGCAAGCCGCAGCAACCTGGATAGATTCTGCCACCTGGGGGGGCGTCCCAACCAGGGGGGACGCGGTGTCCAGCGTGAACAGGCCAGACACCGGGTCCCGGGGGAACGTGGTGAGGGGGGCACCAGTGACGGTCTCGGTACAGACAGCGGACCTCTCGTGACCAGGGAACGTAGTGGTAATGCCGAGGCCCTGAAGACAGCTGACACCAACTAGATTTCGAGAGAACGAGGGGATGTGCAGGCCTGTAAGAGAGCCCGAAGGAACTGCCGAACAGAGGAGAGTGGTGGAACTACAGGCGACTACTGGACCTGAGGAAGGGTCTGCAAGGGTAACTGCGGCATGGACGGCAAGCGGTGTAAGCGTAGTGTGGTCCCAAAAGAAACACCAAGACATGCCAGAATCGAGAGTGAAGGAGAGCGCGGCAGTGGCGGCTGGGGGCGGAGGAGCTAGGGTAGAGCCAAGGCTAAACAAAGCAAAGGGTCATATGCCTGATGCAGCAAGGGAGCCTAAACTAGGCACAGTGGACACACCTATACTAGGCAACACGAGGTAATAGGAACTAGTCATACTAGTTTCATCAACATACAGTACATACAAGGCAGAGCCAATCTCATCCATGTCCACATCAAAGATCCTAACACCACGGTGGAGCAGACTGTGCCATTCAGGGAGGTCCGGCGCGGGGCCGAAGCGGAGACGAAACAGGTCGTCTAGGCGACTGAAACAGCGAGTAGGGGTATGACCGCACACGAGGCCGCGGCGAGGACCGGTCTCGAGCTGGTACTGGCAGCGCTTGTCACTCGCACCACCATCCGACGACGAGCTACGCGCACAACCACCGCGACCACCACCACCACCACCACCAACTCCACGCCATCAGGCGGGAGGTGGCCGACCCTCCGCTGCGACTACTGCTGCTGCGGCGGTGGCTACTGCTGCTGCCGGTCAAGCTGTGGCGCCTGCTGCTGCTTCCGCCATGGCTGCTGCTCCGAGGCACCAGCCCCAGCCCCCTCATCGGTACTACCACCAGCAGATGAACCACCTCCACCACCACCTCCACCCCCTCCTCCACTACCACCGCCGCGCCCAGCCTTGGGGCGGCGAGCCTTACCATAACGGGACTGCGCTGCGGCCACCGCAGCAGCGGTCTCAGCAGCAGGGCCTGTCTCAGCTACAGCCGCAGAACCGTCAGGGTAAGTGTACTGAGCGGAAGCACAACCCTAAAAGATAGGGACTGGCGCATTACTGCTAGACTGGGCGATAGAGCGCTGACGGGTCTCTATGGCAGACAGGGTGTCGACAAAGTCGGAGAGCGTGAGGTCAGCGGGGTGCAGACTAAGAAAGTGGTTGCGGGCAGTGGCAAGGCGGTCAGGGAGGCGGGTGGCAAGCAGATAAAGGGGAGAGCAGATAGGGGGCTGGAACATACGAAGCTAGGCCTCAGTGCAAGTAGCGCACCAGCTAGCGTCGAGCCTGCGCAGGTGTGTGACCAGGTCAGCGACAGTGAGGAAAGACACGAGATCGGGGAATAACGCTCGACAACAGCCTCTATGAACTCCTGCGTAGTCCTGACCGACTTAAAGCGGGGGCGCTCAGACAGGGGGAGGGCATGGCTAATCGCGAGCTTAGCGACAGCGTCACACGACAGCTAGACAGCACGGGCAAGGGCAGCAGCGGCGGTGGACTCACGGTCAGCAGACGTGGGGTCAGCGGGGAGAGCAATATGGGGTTCTGGGTAGGGGAGCGTACTGTCAATGTGGACGGCCAGGGAGTGGCCATCCTGCCGCTGACCAGTGAGGTGACGGCGGAGGTCGACGAACCATGAGTCGAACTCAACCGGCTGACCCTCCGCGTCAAAGCGCAGCACCGAGTCCGTCATGAAGGTCACTGCAGCCGCGAACAGGCGGTGAAGGGCAGGACGGAGTGACAAGGAGCAGTGGGGAGGAGTGCTGTACGATGCAGTACGGTGGAGTGCGGTGGGGCGCTGTGCAGTACGGTGCCACGCGGTGTAGAGCGGTGCAATGCAGTGGGGCGCGGTGCAGCGAGGTGGGGCGCAGTGCAGTGCGGTGGGGCACGGTGCAGTGCGGTGCTGAGCAGTGCAGCACGGTGGGGCGCGGTGCAGGACGATGGAGAGGGCCGGTGAAGCGGGCGGGGACCGGGAAACACGACGGCTAAGCAGCTGGGAGACGGGGCCGTGGGGCGGCTCGGCGGCGGGGCCGCGGAGTAGCGGGGCGACAAGGCCACGGCGCGGCTGGGCAACGGGGCCGCGGACCAGTGGGGTGACGGGGCTGCCGGGCGGCTGGACGACGAGGCCACGGGTCGGCTGGGCTACGGGGCCACGGGGCGGCTAGGCGACGGGGCGGCTACTCGTCTGACTGCCAGACCAAATTTTGGAGTTGCGAAGGAGTTCCTTAGGAAGCTTGGACTTCAGCCGATAATTTAGAGTACAGGGGGAGTTTTAGAGGGTTGTCTTTAGCCTTCAGGACTCGGCCAAAAATTTTAAGTAACGGGGGAATTTTCGGAGAAATGTCTCTAGCAATCAGAAATTAGGGCGTGTATTCCTACAAACCGGGATCAGGATCAGACTCTCCTGCTGTAAAACTGTGTTGTGCAAGTGTTGAAATTGCATTTCAGTGCGGTTCAAATTGGTTCTCCACACCTCAAGTCTGATCCTGATCTTGACGCGTAGGATTACGCCCTTAGACAAAAATTCAGTGTAGTGGGGGGTTCCTGAGGATTGCATCTGACATTCATGACTTGCCGAAAAAATCAACGAGAGGCTAGAGGATTGTCTCTAGCGTTCAGGACTTAGTCTAAAAAACATTTGGGCGGAAAAACAAGGGGTACTGCCGTGGCGCACGTGCATTATTAGGATTCGACGAATCTGGGCTATCCCCGGTTGCATACTGACAACTCATGGCTGGTACACAAACACTTTACTGAATCTTCAGTGTTACACTATGATTCAAAACTGAATTCACAGGGTGAAATTTTACACTAAGCGGGTTTTTCAGATTTGGCACCTAACAGGCATCCTGAAAATCAGGAATTCAGGATAAAACATCCTGAAATCAGAGGCCCTAAGCTATACCTTTTCCTCAACCTTTTCCTAGCGTTCTGATGAGCATATTTCAGTGTATAAGCTTTACTTCTCTTCATCACAAATAATGATGCTTCTCTCGCAAAGTTTCAGACCGGTTGACTTGAGGAGACCTCGGACTTGACATTGGATAAGTATGTGAGGGTAAATTCCCGAATCGGGTCATTTCTTCTGCCAGGAGTGGTCTCCGGTTTTTTTCGTCGCCAGCAGATTGCGTAATGAAGCTCGACGCTGTTCGAGAGGTTCTGGGAATGAATCAGTTTTGGAATTCGAGAATTTTGCCGTGCTCAACACCAAAGCCTGCGCGCGCTTCGGTTATCCAGTCTCGGGCACGCCACTCCGAACCTGAATTCGGACCGCCCCGCATTCAACCTCCCATGCCGAGCCGCACTCTCCAGTGTTCAAAAGGGCACACAACGAATTCTCAAAATTCATCATTCGCAATTCAGCAATTCGCACTTCACCCACCAGTTCTACTCCCCACGCAACCTTGGTTGGAACTGACTAGGTAGCACCAGCGGTCTTTAATACCAGAAAACCAGCTTCTCTTTTGACGAGCTAGTACTAGCCAGTGAGCTCCTCGGGACGCGCGGCGATAATGGCGAGTCCGCACCTCCTCGCCGCTTCGCTGATTCTGTTCCTTCTCGCCAACAGTTGCGCTGCTCACTTTCCCACAACCCGCGTGGCGTCTTCTTTCTCCCGCGGCCGCGCTCTAGCAACCGCTAAAGCCGCCAACCATCTCGTCGCGAGACGCGTCGACTCCGAAGACGCAGTGTCGTGGAACGCAGCCTCGACGACTGCCAATACCAACACGCTTCAGCCCCGTGCGTCGCAAGGCCGCCACGCGACAGCTGAAACGCGCGTGTCTGAGCCGCTGGTGTTCGCGGCTGCAGGAAACGGCCGCCAGCAGGGCGGCGGGACTCAGAGGCTCCAGCGCACCCGCTCCGGGCAGCGAGGGGGGCACTCCCCAAACCTCGGAAGCGTTAACGGCGCTGAGCGGCGCTCCGGAAACCACCATGAGGGAACTGGCACTATTTCTCACAGAGAAACTACTTCTACTGACCTTCGTGGCCGGACGCATAACAACCGTGAGGTGGTGGCGGAAGGGCGGGAGCAACACGGCGGTCGAGCTCGGGCTGCGGATCAGGACAGAGGAAGCCGCACCGCGACAATCCACGCCGCAACCAGCGAGGACGTGGCGCTGAGTCATCACCATCGCGGCAGCCAGACAGCTGGCGGCAGGTCCACACACACCGGCACGCCTCATTGGAGAAACGGCCGCCGCGCTGCTCCTGCTGCTGCTGCTACCGTCGCGCATCACGGCGGGAATCACGACGCCGCAGCCGGAAACCGTGGCGGGAATTCCGGCCGGGAGTTTGGAGGCCAGCCTGCGAGCCGGGGGACGGCGCAATTATGGAGCACTCATCATCCCAGCAGCGGCAACGAGGGCGGCGTTCACCGGGCAAGCGAGGCTGACGTGGCAATCGTGCACAGGGGGAACGGCGCCAGTGGTGGCAGGAACAGCGGGAGTGGCGGCGGGTATGCCGCGGCTGCTGCGCACCCCATGGCGGGAGGGACCGCTGCTACTGCGGCGGCTGCAGCACACAGTACGGTTTCTGAGAGTATGGGTGATTATGAGGGTTCTGAGGAAGAGGATCCGTGCATTAGGGACCCGAGAAGCACGTGTGGCAGTGGTGGCGGCGGCAGCAGTGACGGTGGTGATTACAACGGTGGTGACGATGGCAGCAGTGACGGTGGTGATTACAACGGTGGTGACAATGGCAGCAGTGACGGTGGTGACAACAACGGTGGTGACAATGGCAGCAGCGACGGTGGTGACTACAACGGTGGTGATTACAACGGTGGTGACGACGGCAGCACTGACGGTGGCAATGACTGTGCACACAACCCAGCGCAAGTGAGCTGCGGTGGGGACGGCAGCGGCGATGGCAGCAGATGTTAACGTAGAAACGAATCGATTACTAGAGGTGGAAACCTAGAACAAATACTAGTTGGTTGTACTCACTAGAAGCATACCTCAGTCTAGCCTATAACTTCTACATAGATAATATGTATAAGTTGACACACCCCCTAGGCTAGACAAGGGGTGAAACTAAACAAGAAGCAAACAGCTGAGGGCGGCACTACTAGTCCAACCACTGAGGCAGGGGTCTGGAGACCAGTCAGCAAGAATACAACCAAAACTGAAGCAAGCCAGGGTGGCACTACTAGTCCAGCCACTGGAGGTAAGGCCACAAGGCCAGTCTGACAAGCATATATAATAGAGAGTACACAATCAGGATCCTAACAGGGGAGCAGCTATAGGAACAAGACCAAGCTGTACACAGTGCCGCTGATGATCTTTAGGCGCAAGCGCCTTAGTAAAGATATCAGCTGTGTTGGCACCTGAGGCCAAGTGAACTACGCGGGCCTGGCGGCGCTGCTGTAGCTCGCGCAGGAGGAAGTACCGCAGCTGGATATGCTTCGCTCTGCCCTCAAGCCGAGGCTCCTGACACAGGAGTATCATGGCCCTGTTGTCAGCGTACAGGACCGGGGCAGAGCTAGGCCGCTCACCTAAGTCTGTGAGCAAGAAGGTCAGCCAGCGGAGCTCCTGTGCCGCCATGGCACCAGCGTAGATCTCAGCCTCACAGCTAGACTGAGCCACAGACGACGAGCGAGTGGATCTCCAAGAGATAGCACCCGAACCAAGGCTGAAACAGTAGCCCTGCGACGACCTGAGCGTCTCAGCGTCGTCTGCCCAAGAAGCGTCTGTGTGCCCAGTAAGGACCACTGGCCTGCGTCCTCCTAGCACTAACCCCATGCCTGATGTACTAGCAAGATAACGCAAAACCCTCTTAGCGGCAGACCAGTGCTGAGGTCGGTGTCTGCCTGTAGCCACAAAGCGAGCCAGGATGCTGAGAGGGTATGCGAGATCTGGGCGAGTGCAAGTCATCAGGTACATGAGGCAACCCACCAGCTCTGCGTAGGGGCCACTGGGCTCTACTGGCTCCTCAGGAACGGGAGCAGAGAGCCCATGGTCTACGGGTAGAGGTGTGGGCTGTGCGGAGGAGAACTGAAGACCGAACCTCTGAAGGACCTGACGCACCAAGTGTGACTGGGTCAGAGTGATGGTGCGTGCTGCTCTGTCCCTAGAGATCTGCAGGCCAAGATAGCGACGCAGCTCTCCAAGGTCAGTGCAGGTGTGTCTCTTCAGCAGCTCAGCCTTCACAGAGGCCAGTGCGTCCCTGTCAGGAGTAGCGAAGACCAGGTCGTCTACGTAGACAAGGATGTAGAACGGAGTCTGGCCGGAACGCACAAACAGTGAAGGGTCAGCAGAGGACGGAAAGAACTGCAGGTCTGCTAACGTGGCACGTAGCGTGTCGTGCCACTCGCGGGGAGCCTGACGCAGGCCGTAGACCGGGCGCCTGAGAAGCCACTGGGTCCCAGGAGGGAAGGTACCAGTGAAGCCCTGTGGTCGGCGCAGGTAGACCTGCTCGTGTAGGCTGCCCTGAAGAAAGGCAGTAGAGAAGTCGAGGGAGTGAAGCTCGTAGTCACGCTGTGCTGCTACGTGTAGCAGCGCCCGAAGAGTGGTCATCTTCGGGGTCGGGGCGAAGGTCTGGAAGAAGTCAACCCCCTCGCGCTGACTGAAACCTCTGGCCACGTAGCGCGCCTTGAAGACAGGCGGCTCTCCAGGGGGGCGCTTCACCTTGAAGAGCCACCGACCATCGACTACGTTCACCCCAGGCGGGGGAACTGCGTCGACGTAAGTGCCGGTGGATCTCCAAGATGCCATCTCCTGCTCCATGGCAGCTATCCACTGAGAGGCCCAAGGTCCCGAGGTGGCCTCAGCGTAGGTGCGAGGGGTCGGGATGTCGAAGGCGTCTGGGTCACCCTCAGGGACTAACAGCATGGAGCAGAGATGGGGAGCAGCCTCGGAAAGGAAAGCCAGCTCGTACTGCCTGTCCTCTAGGACGTCACTGCCAAGGGCAGGAGCACCCCCGACGGACAGAGGACGGGCAGGGTCAGAGACCAGAGCGGTAGCGTAGTCAAGGCGGCGGGTAGAAGCGAAGTCAGCGAAAGCAGCGACAAGCGCGTCAAGGCGCGAGACAGGAACAGCAGGGTCGGTAACAAGAGAGGCAAGGACCCGAGGGACAAGGGGACGAGCAGCACGGAGGTAGTCAGAGAACGGAGGAGGTGCAACAGCAAGGGACGAGGGAGGAGGGGACGGGAGGAGGGGAGGACGAGACGAGTGGGAACGGAGCAACATAGGGTGGGTGGGCAGGACAGGAGAGACGGGACGAGCACGGGAGGGACGGCGAGCCCAAACGTGAGACGGAGGGGTAGGGTCAGGGGACAGCGGAGGAGACACAGGAGGGGAACGAGGAGGAAGACGGGCCGGAGACGAGTCTGGCGGCGGGAACACAGGACCGTAGACAGGGAGGTCAGGAGGCGGTGGGGGAGACACCGGCGCGCGGTCCGGGGAGGGAAGGCCGAGCAGGCGGAGAGCGGAAACCGGCGGCGACGGCTGCTGCGGCGGCGACGACGGCTGGGCCGGAACTCTCGGACCAGCAGAGGCAGAACGACCGTCGGCAGAACACTCAACAGCAGCACCCCCAGAACCAACACCCCCAGAGCGAGAACCCCCTCCAACACCAGCGGCACCCCCAGAAGCCGCAGGACGAACACCCTCCTCCACACCAGCACCCCCAGGGGCCGAGAGCAGCGGCGGCAGTGGCGGCAACGGCTGCGGCGGCGGCGACAGCGGCGACGGCTGCGGCAGCGACAGCGGCGGCGGCGGCGACGACAGCGGCGACGGCTGCGGCGGCGACGGCGACGGCGGCGGCAGCGGGGTCGGCGACTGCGACAGTGGGGGCGGAGGCACCGGGGAAGGGGGACGCGGCAAGGACGGACCGGGGGTACCACCAGAGTCAGCAGACTCCTCAACGGGGACAACCGACGGGAGGGGAGTGACGTGGGAGACACCAGACGGGGCAGGACGAGGCGGGAGAGGGGCAGGGCTACCGGGGGAGAGGGAGCAAGGAAAAGGGGGGGGGCAACTGGGAGACCTCGGTGAGGGAAGCGGCGGTAGAAGGAGACGGACTCATCAAAGGTGACGTCACGAGAGTGGAGGAAGCGGTGAGACGGCGGGTGGTAGAAAAGCCAGTCAGACGAGTCCAGGGGGAAACCGAGGAAGACACAGGGGACAGTGCGGGCAGTGAGCTTGTCCGTGCCAGAGGCACGAACGTGAGCAAGGCAGCCCCAGACGTGGAACGCAGACGCGTCACCGGGGGACCCGGTCCAAAGGAGGGTCGGCGAAACCTGCGGCCGCTGGGAGCGTGGCCACAGGTTAAGCTGGTGAGCCGCGTAGCGAACAGCGAACGGCCACAGAAAATGGGGGGCATCGGCATGGATCATGGAGGTACGGGCGACCTCCATGACCAAGCCGATGCGGCGCTCAGCAACCCCATTCTGCTGTGGCGAGTCCGGCAACGTGTACGACTGGGTGATGCCCTCCGCACGACAGAACTGTCCAAGCCGACCAGAGGCGAACTCGCCGCCACGGTCGGAGTGGAGACACAACACGGGGAGACCGCGGTGGAGACGCGCAGCCACAACCCACGGGAGAAGAACGTCGGGCACGTCGGCCTTCCGCTCCAGGGGAAACACCGTGGTGTAGCGCGTGTAGTCGTCGACAAGCACAAGGAAGTAGCGCTCACCGCGCGGTCCGGGGACGGGGGCAGGGCCCCAAACGTCCAAGTGCAGGGTCTGAAGGGGGCAGTAGCAGGACGCAGCGAGGAGGAGTGAGGAGCACGGCGGAGCCGACCCTCGACGCAAGGCGTGCACGGTGGCGCAGTCGAGGGAGGAAGGGCAGGGAGCGACGCGGGGAGACCTAAGACAAGACCGTGCTGGGACATGTGACGCAGACGCGGGAGAGCAGGGTGACCTAAGCGGTGGTGCCAGAGAAGGGAGGGGTGAGTGAGGGACCGACACGAGCAAGCTGCAGCGACCTGGGAGGACGCACCAACCGGGGGGGAAGCGGTGTGTAGGGTAAACAGACCGGACACCGGGTCCCGGGGGAAAGTCGCAAGGGGGGAACCTGAGACAGCCTCAGAACAGACAGCGAACCGCTCGTGCCCGGGGAACGTGGTGGTGACGCCGAGGTCCTGGAGACAGCCGACACCAACCAGGTTCCTGGAGAACGAGGGAACGTGGAGGCCAGTAAGGGAGCCCGAGGGAACTGCCGGACAGGGAAGGGACGTAGAACTGCGCGCGACGACCGGACCCGCAGAGGGGTCAGCGAGAGAGACAACAGCAGGTGCAGCAAGCGGCGTGAGCGTGGAACGGTCGCGGAAGAAGCAGGCAGAAGCACCAGAGTCGAGAGTGAAGGACAGCGACGCAGTGGCGGGGGCCGGGGACGGAGCCGGTGCAGCGACTAGACTAGGCAACCTAGGCAGTCCTACGCCTGTCGCAGCAGGGGAAGCTAAGCTACACAAGGGTGAAACACCTAAACTAGAGTACACAGGGTAGTAAGATCCATCAACACTAGAAGCGTCAGCATACAAAGCATGCAAAGCAGCACCTATCTGATCCATGTCTAACTCAAAGATCGGCACGCCCTGGCGGAGCAGGCTGTGCCAGTCAGGGAGGTCCGGGGCCGGGCCAAAGCGACGACGAAAAAGATCGTCGAGGCGGCGGAAACAGCGGGCGGTCGGGTGCGGGCGGCGGCACAGAGTGCCGCGGAGAGGCCCGGTCTGAAGCTGGTACTGGCAGGTCACAGCACTGGAGCCGCTGGTAGACGCCAAGCTGCGCGGGCCGCCACCACGGCCACCGCCTCCGGAGGTGCCGGGCCAACCAGGCGGGAGACGAGCCCACGGCTGCGGCGGGTGCTGCTGGGACGGCGGCTGCGGCTGGGGCTGGTCCTGCTGCTGCTGGGACTGCTGCTCCTGCCCACCGGTGGTAGTCCCCTCAGGCGGACTACCGTCACCACCACCACGACCACTACCACCTGCGTCACCACCCCTACCTCCCTGGCGGCCACGGCCACCGCGACGCGAGCGCTGCTGCGGGTGGACAGCAGCAGCCGTCTCGGTAAGAGGGGTCGCCGTGGCGACCGCAGCCGAAACGTCAGTGAACGTGCACGGGGATGGGGCACAGCCGTGAAAGATAGAGACTGGCGGCGCACCGCTCGACTGAGCGATAGTGCGCTGGCGAGTCTCGATCTCAGTGAGGGTGTCGACAAAGGCGGTCAGGGTGAGGTCACCCGGGTGCTGGCTAAGAAAGTGGTCGCGAGCACTAGCGAGGCGGTCTGGCAGGCGCATAGCGATAAAATAGAGCGTCATGCAGAAAGGAGGGGGGAGCGCAGTGAGCTGGGCAGCAGTGCTGGCAGTGCGATAGCGAGTCTCTAGGGCACGCAAATGAGTGGCAAAATCTGCGACAGTAGGGAAGGCAGCCAGGTCTGGGAACAGCATCGGAAAGAGCAAGCGGCCAGCAGAAGCGGAGGCAGGGGTGGAATAGCGAGCAATAACGGCGTCTAAATAAGCTTTGGCCGTTTCAACAGTAGCAAAACGCGAGCGCTCAGACACAGGGAGGGCGTGACTAATAGCAACCTGAGCTACTGCATCGCGTGAGTCCCAGATCGCACAGGCCAGCGCAGCAGTAGAGAAAGCCTCACGGTCATCAGAGGAGGGGTCAGCAGGGAGGGGAGTAGGTGCAGGGGGACGGGGGAGCAAGCCATCAGCATGGACAACCAGAGAGTGGCCATCCCGGCGCTGACCTGTAAGCTGGCGGCGAAGATCGGAGAGCCAGGCGGCGAAGTCAACCGCGTGGCCCTCAGCGTCCAGGCGGAGCACAAAGTCAGCCATCGTGCAGGGTCAGCGGCACAGCTCCTCAGCGACACAGCGGCACAGCAGCACAGCTCCTCAGCGGCACAGGAGCACAGCGGCGCGGGGACACGGCGGCAGCACTCTCCAGTAGGGCAGCAGCTAGGCGTCCCAGCGCAGGCAAGCAGAAGACACAGGGCCCGAGAGGACACGGCAGGCCGAGCAGGGGAGGCGGGCAGGTGCTCTGGGGCCGGGCTGGTGCTGGGAGGGGCCAGGCTGGTGCTGCTGGGGCCGGTCGGGCACGAGGAGGGGCCGGGCAGCGCTGAGGAGAGGCCGGGCGGCGCTAGGAAGGGGCCGGGCGGCACTAGGAGGAGGCCGGGCGGCACTAGGAGGAGGCCGAGCGGCACTAGGAGGAGGCCAGGCGGGCGAGCGCTAACAGCAGGCGCGACAGGGGCCAGCGGGCGCGACGGGGCCTAAGGGGCGCGACGGGGCCCAGCGGGCACGACGGGGCCCAGGGGGGGCGCGACGGGGCCGAGGAGGCGCGACGGGGACCAGCGGGCACGACGGGGCCCAGAGGGGCCGCGACGGGGCCTAACGGGCGCGACGGGGCCCAGGGGGGGCGCGACGGGGCCTAGCAGGCGCGACGGGGCCTAGGAAGCGCGAAGGGGCCCAGCGGGCGCGACGGGGCCTAGGAGGGGCGCGACGGGGCCGAACGGGCGCGACGGGGCCCAGAGGGGGGGGACGCGACGGGGCTTAGGAGGCGCGACGATGCCTAGGAGGCACGACGGGGCTCAGCGGGCTCGACGGGGCCCATGGGGGGCGCGACGGGGCCTAGGAGGCGCAACGGGGCCCAGCGGGGCGCGTTAGGGCCTAGGGGTCGCGACGGGACCCAGCGGGCGCGACGGGGCCTAGGGGGAGCGCGACGGGGCCTAGGAGGCGCGACGGGGCCCAGCGGGCACGACGGGGCCCAGGGGGGGCGCGACGGGGCCTAACGAGCGCGACGGGGCCCAGGGGGGGCGCGACGGGGCCTAGGGGGCGCGACGGGGCCTAGGAGGCGCGACGGGCGGAAGCGGTAGGCGGGGGGATCCTAACCTAAGCGTGATACCATGTTAACGTAGAAACGAATCGATTACTAGAGGTGGAAACCTAGAACAAATACTAGTTGGTTGTACTCACTAGAAGCATACCTCAGTCTAGCCTATAACTTCTACATAGATAATATGTATAAGTTGACAGCAGAAGCAGTGGTGGCACAGTGGACGCGGCAGCAATCCTGGAGGAGCACAACAGCGCACGGCGCGAGGCAGGCGTGCCGGACCTGGCATGGGATGACGGGGTGGCGGCCGCGGCTCAGGAGTGGGCCAACCAGCTCGCGTCCAACTACTGCCCCTTGGAGCACGGCGGCGCAGAGGGCCTTGGGCAGAACCTCTACTGGAGCATGCCTGCGGGGTTCACTAGTGAGGAGGACCGCGGGGCTGTGCGCTCGTGGGTGGAGGAGAAGGCTGACTGGACCCCGAGCCCGGTGCCTGAGGGGTGTGCCGAGGGGAAGATGTGCGGGCATTATACGCAGGTGGTGTGGCGGGATACGACCCATGTGGGGTGCGCCGCAGCGCAGTGCCCTGATGGGAGTGGCATGTGGGTGTGTGATTACTCGCCCCAGGGGAACATCATTGGGTCCATGCCCTTCTAGGTGCCTCTATGACTGGCTTGCTGTGGCTCTAGGCTGACTATTCTGAGTTGTGGATGGTTCCAGGAGGGAAGCAGGGAGAAGCTGGGTTGGGTATGAGGAGGGACCTGGCTGTGATGTACGACCTGATGTTTTCACTTGAAATGCATTTCTTGCTTCCAATATTGTCCCGGACTGCAGTGTCCTTGCCACATGTTATAGTACCTACCCATACCAAACCTGGTCTACATACTAATCCCATCCCATTTCCATTCCATCACTGCAGTATTGAGTCCAGTACGTACACCACAATAGGCACTACGGTACATTCCACTAAGCTTGCACACGGCCATCGCTAGGTGGGTGGGTGGGGTCACTGGGGTGGCTAGGGCTTTGACTAGACAGCCACATGCTTCTCCTTTCCAGACACTGACTTCCTAATCCTATGTACCAGTATCGTCTTCTGACATGTCTACAAACTCTACACCCATATCCCTACAACCTTAATGCTCCAATCGTCCATGCTCCCACCACTCCCTCCGCGCCCCCCTCCTCTATCCCCCCCACATGAACTACTCATCCTTCCGCCCCGTGTTCCCCCTCCACCAACACCGCCACGCCGCCACAGCCCCATCCACCCTCGTGCGTCCTCGTCTTCCGCACTGGTCTATCTGGCACGCACACCTTGTTGAAGCACATTGGTTTACTTGAAAACACCTTGGGCCTGCTGCAGAAATCATCCAGCCTGGACTTGTGGCACATAATGGCACGGACACAGCCCCCCCTGCACCCATCTCCCCTGCACTGCCGTTCCTCACCTGCTACTTCCCGTCCTCCAAAGCCTCCCCTCCCCCCCTCTCCTTCTCCCCCCAAAACAACCCCCCCCACCCCCCCTCCCCCCTCCCCTCTCCCCCATTTAACCCTTGCTGGTTTGCGTCTACCGGAAGGAGTCGGGCAACTTGGGCTTGTTGCGCATGATGGCGTCTATCCTCTCCATCACCGCTGGGGTCAGCTTCGGCATCACCTCCAGAGCCATCATGTTCTCCTCTATCTGCCACATGCACGCATCACATGCACACATGTTACCATCAGCCATGCACTGTCGCACCCAAGCATCCATACAGCCACGCACACCCACACACAATCACTAGCACGCCTGCCAACACACTCCTGCACACTCCCCCACACCACCTCGGCTTACCTGGCTCTCCTTGGTGCTGCCTGTAATCACAGAGCTGACGTATGGGTTCTTGGCACACCACGCAGCAGTGCACACACTACCAAGCCAAACCAAACCAAAGAGAGACCCCCACCCCCCAGCTCTCACCCCTCCCCCCTGCTCTCCCCCCCCCCCCCCCCACCCACGCACCTGGCTCTCCTTGGTGCTGCCTGTGATGACAGAGCTGACATGAGGGTTCTTGGCGCACCACGCGAGGCTGAGCTGCGCCACCGTGCACTGCAGCTCGCCCGCCACCGCCGCCAGCGCGCCCACCTTGTCCAACACCTCGTCCACCAGCTTGCGCGTCGCCAGGTGCTGGGGGGGTGGGGGAGGGGGAGAAGGACGGGAGGGACAGGGTTATTGAGAGAACAGAGGGGTGTTTGAGGTGGGTCAATGCGCCCCACCTTGTCCACCAGCTTGCACATCACCAGGTGCGGGGGGGGGAGAAGGGATGGCAAGGGGGCAACACACAAGGGGTGGGGTGTGGACACTAACACAGGGGAAAAAATATGGTGCTCTGAGGCATCTCAGCGCGCCCAACACCTACTCGACCAACTTGCGCACCACTAGGAACCGGGGGGGGGGGGGGAAGGGAGGGAGAGGGTGAGAGAGGACAAGGAGCAGCCAGGCCAGGCGCTTACCTTGTAGTTAGCGAGGGCGAAGCGTGAGTCCGGGGGGATGTGGCCGCGCGCGTACTTCCCTGTCAGCACACCCGACGCCAGGGGCGACCACGTGGTGAGCCCCAGCCCGTACGGCTCGTACAGGGGGAGAAACTCCTTCTCCACCTGCATGGGGGAGGGGGAGAGTCGGGAGAAAGGGAAGGACAACACTGAAACTGCATGGAAGGCAGGGGCAACCCGTACAGTGGTGAGACCCAGATGTACGGCTCGAAGGGGGGAAGGGGGGGGGGCACCTGGTCCGGTGTGTGTGTGGAGAACGAGGGGGAGTGGAGTGGACGAAGGAGAGAGCAGGGGAAAATAGCTCCCATAGATTGCCCTACCTTACTGCACCCCACCCCCTCACCTTCTCCTGGGCGATGAGGTTGCACTCGGGCTGATCCATGGCAGGCCCAATGAGGTTAGTGTGGGAGTACCCCCTTGCTCGCCATGCTCACAAGGAGAGCCTTACCTTCACACACCCACCACCCCCCCCACCTTCTCCCGGGCGATGAGGTTGTACTCGGGTTGCTCCATGGCGGGCCCGATGAGGTTCAGCCGCTTTGCCACCTCACACGCCTCTGTGATCTGTGCCGCGCTCCACTCGCTCGTGCCCCAGTAGAACGCCCAGCCCTGCCGCGGTGGTGGGGGAGAGGGGACAGTTGGGACGGGGAGGGAAGAAGGCATGCCTTGAGGTTGCCAGCCACTCCACTCGTTCATGCCCCAGTGGAACGCCCAGCCCTGCCCATGTTTGAGTGGGGGGAGGGAGAGGAGACAATTGCGACAGGGAGGGGAAGCAGGCATGTGTGGAGGCCACCAGCCACTGCACTCGCTCGTGCCCCAGTGGAACGCCCAGCCCTGCCGTGGTCGTGGGGGAAGGGGGGGAAGAGGAAGATTGGGGCGGGTAAGATGCTTCAAGGCACATCATCCACTCCACCCGCTCGTGCACCAGTAGAACGCCAAGCCCTGGAGAAATCAAGGGGTACAGCGGAAAAGGGGGGAAGGGGGGAACGGGGATAAGGGGAGGGAGAAGGGGGAACGGGGAGACGATGGGGCGGGAAGGGGAAGAAGGCATGGTTTGAGGCTATCCACCACTCCACGTGCTCATGCTCCAGTAGAACGCCCAGCCCTGGGGGAAGAGGTTAAGGACCCGGGGGGAAGGGGCGGGGGGCGGGGGCGGGGGGGGGGAAAGGGGGAAGGGGGAAGGGTTGGAAGAGGGGTGGCGATTAGAGACCCCTCAGAACAAAGACTCGTGCCCCCCCCTAGCGGCCTACTCCAGTAGCGAGCCTGGCCCTGGCAGTTGACTCTTGAGTTGACTCAAAAGTCTCCTAGCGGCCTGCTTCTACCCGCCTTACACCCCCCCCGTCCCCCATCCCCCCCAAACAGCGCGACCCTCCATCTCCTTCCCATCCCCCCCGTCCCCCATCTCCTTCCCATCGCCCGTAAAACCCGAACTTTTACCCTACACCATTTCCCTTCCCCCTCCTCTCCTCTTCTCTCCCCCCCCCTCCTCCCCCCCCCTTCCCCCCTCACCTTGTCAATCACGTGGTTCATGGCCCTAACGGTCTCCTCTATGGGAGTGGAGGCGTCCGGGCGGTGGCAGTAGACGAGGTCCACGTACTCCATGCCCAGCCGCCCCGCTTGGGGTGCGGCGCCACACCACCTGTGCCAGATTCACGCCCAACGCTTATCCGGGCGGGGACCACACAGAAACCCTTCCTCCCCCCCAGAACGCCGCTCTCTCCTCTCCTCCATACCTCCTCCCCTCTCCCCCCCCCCCTCTTCCCCCCTCACCTTGTCAATCACGTGGTTCATGGCCCGAACGGTCTCCTCTATGGGCGTGGACGCGTCCGGGCGGTGGCAGTAGACGAGGTCCACGTACTCCATGCCCAGGCGCCGCAGCGACGCCTTCAGCCCCTCCACGATGTGCTTGCGCGACAGACCCTTCTCGTTCACGCCCTGGGGAGGGGGGGAAGGAAAGGACGGCAGACCGGGGGAGCGGAGGGTGCATGGGGAGGACGGGGGGAAGCTATGGCTGAGCTTGGCGCGCAGCCCCCCTCCACGATGTGCTCGCGCGATAGGCCCTTGTCGTTCACACCCTGAGAGGGGTTGGGGGGGAAGGGAAGTATAGGGGAGGGGTAGGAGGGGCAGTGTAGGGGAGGGGATTGCCGACTCAAGTGCAGCCCCTCCACGATGTGCTTGCGCGACAGACCCTTCTCGTTCACGCCCTGGGGGGCGGAAGGGAATGGGGAGGGAAGGAAGAGGGGAGGGAGCACGGAGAGGCAGGGGGCGGGCTATGAGATGAGTAGAAGCGCGAGCCACACCGCTCTGTGCTTTTGCTACAGGCCCTTCTAGTTCACGCCCCGACGGCCAGGGAGTGGGTGACAGGACGGGGGGGGTTTGGGGATGTCTCAGTGGAGACGACAATCTCGGAGCCGCGCCAGCCGAGATCGCAAACGGCGAAAGGCGGGGGAGGTGGGAAGCGAAGTGGGGGAGGGGGGGGGAGGAAGAGGAGAGGGGAAGGGAGGAAAGGGGAGGGGGGGCGCAGGGACGGGAGGAGTGGCTGCGGGGAAGCGCTGGACGAGCGGAGGTACGCACGCAAGCGGAGCGGAGCGGATACGCGTTCACCGGCGCACCTGGCCGCCCCAGAAGATCTTAGTAGAGACGACGATTTCGGACCCGAGCTGGCGCACGGCGCCAGGACGGGGAGGAAGGCGGACGAGCGGGGCTGCACAACGGGCGCACCTGGCCGCCCCAGAAGATCTTAGTGGAGACGACGATCTCGGAGCGGCGCCAGCCCAGCTCACGCACGGCCTGGCCGAAGATCTCCTCCGCCTTGCCGTTGGCGTACACCTCGGCGTTGTCGAAGAAGTTCACGCCCGCCTCAAAGCACCGCCGCAGCAGCCGCTTCGCTAGTTCCACATCCACCTGCGCACCGGGAGGGGGGGGAGGTGGGAGGAAGGGGGGAGCGTGGGGGGGGAGGTTGGGAGAGGGAGGGGAGAGGGGTTGGGGGGGTGCCTAGAGGGTGGGGATTCGAGGGGAGGGCGGAAGACTGGGGGGGGTGGGGTAGGGGGACGCGGTGGGGTGGGGAGGAGGGGGTGGGGGCCGGATCCAGCGCAGTGACGACGAGGAGCGCGAGGGGGGTCGGCGTGCCTGCAGGGGGGAGCGGCGCGTGATGCATCGACCGTAGTGAGCTCGACCGGAGAATGCGGAGATCGATGGCGGGAGGAGGGGAGAATAGGGATGCAAGCGCGATCTAGTAGTTCGATCCCAAAGAGAAGCAGAAGCGGAGTGGCATGGCAGGAGGGGGCGCTGCTGCGCGCGCGCGAGCCGAAAAGAGGGGCGCGTAGTGGATGTGAAGATGAGCGCATCGAGACGAGCCGGGGATCAGCTGGGTCGACTCCCGCTGTGGCTGATCGAAAGCGCTGAAAGGGAAACGAATCCGCACCTGGTTGCCGAACGTGACCCACGACCCGAAGCTGAAGACCGAGACCTTGAGCCCCGTGCGACCCAGATTGCGATACTCCATCGCAGGCCGGCTGCCGCCGTGCCCGTCGCCTGCCGCCGAACTCGACGTCGACATGCTAACTGCGGCTGGTTACCCCTTCGCAGCCTGTCTCGTTGCCTTCGCCAAGCTCTTGACGCGTGAGGCGGGGCAGAAGTGCTAAGGGGTCGGGCTTGTCGAATGGCAGTGCCCGGGGTTCGGGTGCGGGGTCGGGGAGCGGAACAGATTTGAGTGCCGATCAACATATGTACACAAGCAGGCAATGGCAAATGGGAGAGATCTGGGAACCTAGAGCCTGCGGGGTTCTACCTTCTGGGTGTGTATTTGATCCAACTGTGGAAAAAACATCAGGGGGGAGCTAGTTGGGCGGCTGCGAGCACCCTCATTTGCAGCTTGAGATTTGGAGCTTGGTTGGGCAGCAGGGACTTGTACGCCGCTCGATCGTGTCAGCATTTGTGTCAGGATTCGTGTCAGGACTCGTGCTCAACACCACCTACCAGGGTTTCCAGTTCTGTAGAAACCCGAAATCCTCGATCATGGCCAGTACGCAGAACTCAAAACCAAGAGGAAATTAGTGTCAAAATGCCTGAAATGAAGCTGGGGACGAGCAAAGAACGGGCCCCTTTCTTTGCCTTGTGGTTGAGTTCTTCACAGCTCTCTCCCCCCTCCCCCTCCGCCCTTCTCCGCCTCCCCCCCGTCAATTCCCCACATGCTGCTCTGCGCCACTGCATGCACGACACGTGGTAATGGCACATCAACCGGGCCACGCCGGTCGGAGCCAGCAGAGCAGAGCCGAAGAGCATCCACCAGGCCTCTCGCTAAGCCCCAGGGTATTCCGGAAGGGGACGGAATCGCCTCAGGATCACCCGTTAACAGACGGAATTTCCCCAAAAAAACCCCTTACCGAAAGGAATCGGCTGCTACAAATTCGGCTAGCAAGTGATCAAAGGCGGGGTTGGGCGCCGGTGGGTGGGGGGGGGGGGGGTGGGGTGGGGGAGAGGGGGGTGGAGGGGGTGGGCGGTCGTTACCCCCTACAGATGTCCCTGCTACAAATACTGCCGGTACGGATTAGAAGCAGTGTTACTCGTTAGGCTAAGGAATCGCGCGAGATTGTTTCAGTAAGTTGGACGGATTCGGAAAAAAATCGCACTGTAAAAAAACGGAAGCACTTGAAAAGTCACTCTTAATTGTTCTAAATTAAGGATAATTACTCTCTCAGCAGGAGGGCTGGCGTCCACCAGTTGGGCGGAATCGAGTGATTCCAACGGACACACGCGCGCACGGGGAGGGGTGCATGTCAGATCGAACTTTGGCGGGGAGAACTGTTTGTGGTAGTGGGTACTTCGATTAAAAAACAAAGACAATGCTGGAATGCTACTGGTAGAAATGCGTTAGATTATAGCCGTTGACCCAAATTGCAGAAATTGCCTTTCAAGTTTATTCATCTTGAAACGATTGGTAACCCAGTTCCCCAGAGTGAGAGCAAAAACGAAAGTCGCGCAACGAAACGACGGGGAACAGTTTATAATCTTGCGCCACCCCCAGCTGATTATGCCCCTGCCCCCGCCACAACAGGCGTTTGAGCGGAAAGAAACTTGAACTTCCCCCCCCCCCATACATTTTGGGACTTTTCGGAGTGCAAACCCAGCCCAGCGCCACTACGCCCTAGGCAGCGAGAGCACCATGCACAGCACACGCCAGTTTTATTAGGGCGCGGTACAAATCGTTTCAAGTGAGGTACGCGACTTGATTTTTTTTTTCTTATCTAGCCTTCTTGATCGCGATAAAAACAGTCTAAACATCTACAACCGCATCAGCTGTTCGAATTTCAGTTTGAAGACATATTCGTGATATGAGTTGTACCACACCCTGATATGCGCAAGTCAAGTTGCTTGGCGGTTCCAAGCGAGTTGCGCAACTCGGCCAGGATGCGCAACCCAGAGTCACGTGACCTTCCTTCCCGTTGTTTCCAGTGTTCCACGCTGTGCCGTGCGCCGCTCTGACCAGGTTTTCTTCCCCACCCCCCCCTGCGCCTTGCGCGCGCCCCCACCCTCCGTTTCCCCCAGTCGTTGTTTGCGAACGTTTTGGTTCTGCCATAAATTGTGTGCTCGTTCTGATTGGTTTTCGTAGTGTGCTGTGTTCGCCCATTCTCGCCACCCTCACACCACTCCTCCACACCCGTGTCCTTTCTCCAGCTCAACTTTTTGCCCTGTCCATCTTTATTAATCTTGTACGTTTTGGGTCAACGGCTTTAAGATAGCACTCCGCAAAACAATTTTTGGTGAAGCTACCCAGTTAAAGTCGCGGTACACATTCAACCCAGAAGTTTCAAATGTTTATCACTTGAAAAGAGGATTACCGTGTCGACGGAAATTGGGGAGCCACGAAAAGGGACGAAACTTGAGTGCGGGGCGGAGGACTTGCGGCGCAGATAGAATGGGAAATGTGCAGCCCTCTACAGCGAGAACACATTGGCTGAGTTCTACAGGCATTTGACGTTGACGTCGACGTCGACATTGAGGAAGCTCCGCAAGCGACTTCGAGAGCACTGGTCACCACTCAAACCAGGTGCACTTACCAAACCTCGCTTGGAAGCCACGCGGCCAAATTGTGGAAACCGCAAGCAAAAGGAGAGAGGAGAGATTTTCAAATTTGCGCAACAAAAACCTGCTGCCCCAGGGCAGCAGGTCGAAAGAGTGGTGCTGTTAGAAGCCATACGACTCTCTTTGGCGATGGGTTTTTTGAGCTGCAGTTGTTTTGCAGGGCAGGCCCAAGTTCGAGAGGTGGGGTAAAGTGGTGGCACTGGTTTTTTTGGGGTGTGGAGGCCTAGTACACCCTTGCGGCTGATGTAACGCCACACGCAAGGTGAACTCCGCGATTGATCGAACGTCAGCGTTGCGTCAAGTTTGCGTCAGATTTGTCAGGGAGGGAAGCGGGGGGGGGGTGTTTCCCTGACGTACATGTCATCTGTACGAGACCTGTTCTGCAGGCATGTTGATGTAACTAGATTCGGGTACCTTGTGCCAGGTTTGGGCGAAATTTTGCGGGCTGACCCTCGATTCGAAGCAAAAAATCTCGCTTTCTGAAGGTGCTCTGATGAAATCTGCACTTTCCTTTCGTGCCTGTAGAACGCAGCCTTTGAAACACAGGTGCTGGCGTTTGTGTACCAGTTTCAGTGTTTAGGCACAGAAGGCCGCACTGATAGGCGAGGGGCAATGTTAGATACCCCACAAGAAGCAGATTAGTAGCACCCACTGCTGATTCGCCAGCCTATCGGGATTTAGGCGAAATAGGGAAATGGTTAGTGGCGTGGCTTGACTTTCCACGACACCTCTCTAGTCCCCATTGCCTCTCCTCGTCGCCTCTCCTCTCCATCCACTACAATAGGGAGCTTCGTCGACTCTCCTAGCCTTGTTGCCGAGCCTAGCCAAGTCGCCGACCCTAGCCTCCTCGCCGAACCTAGCCTCGTCCTTGAACCTAGCCTCGTATTTGAACCTAGCCTCGTCGTTGAACTTAGCCTCGTAGTTGAACCTAGCCTCGTCGGCTCACCTCTCATCTCCACGTCACCTCTCCTCCCCGTCACCTCCGCTCTGATTTGTCAAGTCCCCTCCCCCCTCGCGTCACCTTCCACCTGCCCATTTGCATCCGCCATCACGTCACCTTCCCTCTGCCCATTCGCATCCGCCATCGCGTCACCTCCCCACTGCCCATTCGCATCTGCCCTCGCGTCACCTCCCCCCTGCCTATTCGTATCCGCCATCGCGTCACCTCCCCCTGCCCATTCGCGTCCGCCCACGCGTAACCTTCCCCCTGCCCATTCGCATCCGCCATCGCGTCACCTCCCCCCTGCCCATCCGCAACCGCCCTCGCGTCACCTTTCCCCTGCCCATTCGCATCTGCCATCGCATCACCTCCCCTCTGCCCATTCGCATCTGCCCTCGCGTCACCTCCCCCCTGCCCATTCGTATCCGCCATCGCGTCACCTCCCCCCTGCCCATTCGCATCCGCCCACGCGTCACCTTCCCCCTGCCCATTCGCATCCGCCATCGCGTCACCTTCCCCCTGCCCATCCGCAACCGCCCTCGCGTCACCTTCCCCCTGCCCATTCGCATCCGCCATCGTGTCACCTCCCCTCTGCCCATTCGCATCCGCCCTCGCGTCACCTCCCCCCCGCCCATTCGTATCCGCCATCGCGTCACCTCCCCCCTGCCCATTCGCATCCGCCCACGCGTCACCTTCCCCCTGCCCATTCGCATCCGCCCTCGCGTCACCTTCCCCCAGCCCATTCGTATCCGCCAATCTGGGCTACTTGCCCCCAATCTCCAGCCTCCAATCAAACCCCAAAACTCTCCCCTGCCTTGCCCTTCCTTCTCCTGTTCAACTCTCTCCTCTCCCTGCCCTGCTCTTCAAGCTTACAGTATCTCTCACTGCCTTGGGCTTCTTGCTCACCCCGCCCTTCTCTCCCTGCCCTATTCACCCTGTCCTGCTAGCCCTGTCCTGCTAGCCCTGTCCTGCTAGCCCTGTCCTGCTCGCCCTGTCCTGCTAGCCCTGTCCTGCTCGCCCTGTCCTGCTCGCCCTGTCCTGCTCGGCCTGTCCTGCTCTCCCTGTCCTGCTCGCCCTGTCCTGCTAGCTCTGTCCTTCTAGCCCTGTCCTGCTAGCCCTGTCCTGCTAGCTCTGTCCTGCTAGCCCTGTCCTACTCGCCCTGTCCTGCTCGCCCTATCCTGCTAACCCTGTCCTGCTCGCCCTGTCCTGCTCGCCCTGTCCTGCTCGCCCTGTCCTTGTGAGAGTACGACCCCGTTACACCACTTGTCCCTTTTCTTATTTCCTTCCTCTTTCATTTCTCTTTTTATCTCATTTCAATTGGGTTTCTATTCTCCATTTTCCATTACACCTTTTGGGTTCTCCTGTTATTATAATTATATCACCGACCAGGCTTGGGATGTACTGGTGCGCTATCTAGCGTAATCCTGCCGTAATCCCTTAAAGCCAATAGCCTCGCGCGGCTATACGCAGGGTGATTCTATCTTCTAGAAGGGTCTATTCCCATAGGATAAGATAAACCTGGTTACCTGATGCACTTTGGAAGTATAAAAGCGCCTTGTACTGATCGATAGTGCAACCTTTCCTCGACCCATTCGATCCTGTGACACTTGGTAATCAGAGCTTTTCTCACTCGACCGCGCTCAGCTAAGCAGCAGCAGCGGAGGATCCTGCCTCGAAAAACCGTCGGGGGCGACCAATTCGACGCCGATTCTGGTAAGCACCAGCTCCGCGTTTTTTCCGAATTACCCCCTCCGCGCGTGTTTTTGAACA